TAACATTATGTACAGAACTGAAATATAACAGCTGAAACACGTCGGTGAATCTGTCAGAATGATTCACCTTTTACTTGTCTTTACGGATGCTAACATAAAAAAATTACAAATGAAATGTCATAACAGATGAAACATATAATTTTACATGTCAAAATTATAGGCTTTCTACATGTCTTTATGGACGATAACATAAAAAATGATTCATGAAATGGTACAGAAACAAAACAAGAAACCAAACTGACCCCACCGGTGAAATTTGATGTGGTTCATCAATATAAAATGGGTCAAGTTTATAATTTCTTACAAGAAATAGCTAATGCCATTCTACCTGAAACTTCCTCCGAAGTCAGAGTGCACCCGCCTGAGAAAAAACAAGGAACCAACAGTCTGCATTCAAATAAACCAAATCTGTCAAACAGATGTGCATGCAAAACTCAAGTTCTGGAACAAGACTAAAGTTAAGAAGTCAACGAACACTCAGAAGTTTCTGCCAGAGTTGACAGCCAGTGAACGCCAAGAGATCACCCATGTCACAAAAAGGAAGATAGCTTGAGTACACCTCGATGACAGAGAAGCTAGGGAAGGGAGGAAGGAAGACAGAGGATGGAGGTAAGAAAAGGGAGGGAATATAGGATAGTCTTGTAACATAGTAACATACATTCGGTCTCAGAAATGTCAGAAATGACTGGAAGTATATGAGAAAGAAGGATGAGGACAGACAGGTCATGATTAATACCACACATCACTTTGACAACTAACAGGTGACCTGATGTGTAGCAGCCAACAAGTTGCTGAACTGCTGTTAACAGAACAGCTATTTCTCGAATTTCACATCAAAACAAAGAAATGGTTTAAAAAATGAAGAACAAACCAATTTGCATTACTACAATTTAATGGAGAAAAAAATGGGGGGGGGGGGGGGGCCGCAAATGGATTATTACCTTTAAGAGACAAATTTGGCCCCAGTACAAAATAAATACATAGGAAACTTTCAACTTCTAAGCAGACCCCCCCCCCCCCCAAAGGGCGGTTATCATTTTATCGGATATAAATAATTATGGAAGGATCCAGAAAATTATTATGGTAGATGGTAGATATTCACTGACAGGTCTCTCCACACAGATTTCTCTAGAGCCTAATTGGGGGAGGGGAGAAGGGGGAATATTCACGACCTCTCAACCAGTATTTCACACAAGGCAACTAAGTACAGGTCTTTTAAATCAGATGTATTGGCCAAGAGGTGCAAATATCGCAGCCTAGCCTATAACTACAATACAAACTAAGGACAGGTTTTCTGAATCAGATGTATTGGCCAAGAGGTGCAAATATCGCAGCCTAGCCTATAACTACAATACAAACTAAGGACAGGTTTTCTGAATCAGATGTACTGGCCAAGAGGTGCAAATATCGCAGCCTAGCCTATAACTACAATACTAATCTTCTTGCCAATGGCCATTTTTAAGTCAAACTTAGTTGAGAAAAATAGAGATAGCTAATGATGACAAAAGAACACAACAGCATGGGGAATATTTGGAGTTTAGGATAATCTGTGATGGCCACATAATTCAAACCAAATGATACACACTTTCAAAATAATGCCCCATTTAGAAGGTCAAACTGCTTAGTATACTCTCTCTCATCCATACAAAGAAAACAAGTGAGGTTACTATTTCATATCTCAGTGTTTTAAAGCAATTTCACAACCCAGTTTCTAACAGACTACTCACATCACACAACCACAAAGGTTTAGTGTGGAGCAGCGGAGAGAACGAACAATGTATGTCAACATCAACAACTAAACAACGTCAAAAGTACTACAGAGACAACATCAAAGTAGCTGAACACAGACACCAATAAGATTAAACATACAAAATCAAATCACTTAACTCGATAAATGTAGTTACGGCTCAGGGTGCCACTCGAGACGAGAAAAAGCAAGACAAGTAGTTAAACAGATGACAATGGGTATGGAAATTCTTTGCTGTCTGCTGAGGAGGGAGACGGAGCTACTATGGGCTAGTCCTGAATGCTGTGATGTTGAATTCTAACCCAGATAAACCCAGTTAAGGACCATATGATAACAAAAGCATGCAAGGGTCTATCTCCAATGAGGGTTATTATGACTGCTTCCAATATCGAGCAAAAACTACCCACACTTCTGTTCTACGAGCTGGTCCGTTCTCCTACTGAATATGCTCTGGCCATCCTCACTTTCAGTGCTACACAGACTGAACGACTTGAAAAAAGTGCAAAATGAAGCCATGCGCATTGTTTTGGGATGTACAAGAGATACTTCCTGTGCAGCAATGAGATCTACTTGACTTTCCAACAACGAACAAAAGGATCAGGATCTGGAGGGCTCAGGCATAACTTAAAATATCCACTGGATCAAGTACTTTTCAGGGGAAACTCATTGCCAGGTCGGACAGAAGATTTTATCAAACAAAAATGCAGCGTAACCGACATCATCCCTGGTGAAGAGTGGATACCCGTGCCTCATGCGTTTATTTGTACATTTTCCTCTACTGCCACCTTCAACAGGCAATGCAGAGAGCAGAATCAGTGAAAATTCAGATGAGGCAGATGTACTAATCTAAACAGACAGATCCATTTTACGCCAACAAAGACGCGCATGAGCGTTCACAGCCAACTCAGCAGCCAAAACAGTCAAAGAAGCCAACGACACCTTCTCCATAACCAGCAGCATGACGAAGGAGGTGATGACAGTAACGCAAGCGATGGCGTGTCTCCAAAAACAAAACTACACCCGTGCACGTCTTACTCGGTGATTCAATGAGTTGGATCTGAAGGGTTCAGGCGAAGGCAATGGCTTGAATCATTACAGAAGTCACATTTATTTTCGTTCTGGGACACGCAGGTGTCGATAGAAATGAAAGAGGAGACAGGCTGGCTGGATCTGCTATCATTACCGACGGTCAACCCATGAATCATGCTGATATTAGTAATGCCCTCTGAGAAATGGGAAGGTTGAAGGACTTTGGGGGCACTGAATTCACATCACTCGCCAGAATGATAAGACTATGGAGTCAAGACTGGCATAGCAAAAAATGAGACACAAGGCAGGCACATCAGAGGACATGTTAATCAACACAGAACTAGTATTATTAGCCACCGGACACTGGGGTTCATACTGAGGGGAGGGTCTGAGCCCCTGTGGATATGTCTGGAGTGCAGTGATGATAACCCAACTAACTAACCCAGTTACGGACGAACTCCAGCCAGCACTAAAAACTTCATCATCTTCTGTGTAATTTCTTAAAACGGCTGTCAGCTTGTGGTTTACAGTTAAGCTTGACATCTGCACCTTTTGGTTCACTTAAGCAGATAACCCCTAAATTACTCGCCTTTTACAACATGCAAGATAAGGGAGGTCACTGGGTCTACCCCCCCCCCCCCCCCCCCCCCCCTTTCCCGAACCTATAGTTGACCTTTATATCAGGTTGATGCAGTTTTAAAGGGTACGGTGAAGATTTCTGGAAAGTCACAGTGACAAGGGGAGCGAGATAGTGATCCAAATATTTTTCAAGCCGATCTATTTCAAAAGTGATTCTGGCTCCTAGTCAATCTAAACTAAAAATGGGAACTAGATAATGTCATGGGAACTAGATAATGTCATTGGAACTCCAGATGGCTAGCATGATGCTGACCACCGCCTACTGAACCATCTTTTCAAAATATGTTCCTTCTCTTCTTCTTAGCATTCACTGGTTGCAAGCTCCTGCAGACATTTTGGGTTGTTCGTCCCCTTCTGTGTTTTGGTCTTGTTCCAGAACCTGATTTTTGCATGTACATCTTGTTTTACAGATCTAGGTAATTTGTATGCAGACTGTTGGTTCCTTGCCTCTCACACAGATGCACCCCTGACTTGGAAGGAGACACCTTAATCAGTCGCCTCCTATGACATACTTGTTAGGGCCCAATGGGTCTATTCTTACTTCCCCCAAAAATGGGACCCCAGAACCCACACGGAAAATATGCAGTAGGCACGTGACCATTTGAACTTGATTTGGTGAAGGTGTGTGTATATTAGCATGTGTTTATTTGGCTGGCTTTACCCTGTGGAGTGTTTTTATGTAAACCTCCCAGCTAGATTTGGTGAAGGTGTGTGTATATAACATGTGTTTATTGTGGCTGGCTTTACTCTGTGGAGTGTCTGTATGTAAACCTCCCAGCTAGATTTGGTGAAGGTGTGTGTATATTAGCATGTGTTTATTTGGCTGGCTTTACCCTGTGGAGTGTCTGTATGTAAACCTCCCAGCTAGATTTGGTGAAGGCGTGTGTATATTAGCATGTGTTTATTTGGCTGGCTTTACTCTGTGGAGTGTCTGTATGTAAACCTCCCAGCTAGATTTGGTGAAGGTGTGTGTATATTAGCATGTGTTTATTTGGCTGGCTTTACTCTGTGGAGTGTCTGTATGTAAACCTCCCAGCTAGATTTGGTGAAGGTTTTGTTGAATGTTATCTGTGCTGATGTCTGCTACTCTTTTTGTGCATGTGTAGTTAGGGTTGACACACCCCTCCCCACATTTATCAGCATGTGTGGGCTGGGAGGACAACAGTCAACAAACCCCTCTCCCCCGAAGAAAGCTAGAAAAAAGTCAATTTAACTTTGAAAGAAGAAGAAGAATAAGAAGCAGCAGAAGAAGAAGAAAAAGAAGAAGAAAAAGAAGAGAGAGAGAGAGAAAGAGAGAGGGGGAGGGAACTGCAGAATGATGGAAAGAGAGAGACGTGAGACAGAATAAAAAACAGAGATGAAGGGAGATGTGTCTAAAACAAAATGAGAGAACGTAATGTAGACAGACATCTGCAGTCTCTGAATGTTCATTAAGACTTTCACAGCACCATGTGCACCATTAGCTGCATCAATTGTACATTTTGATATTTAACTCTAAACCCCATTAATATTGTGCTTGAAATTGCCTGTTCACACTTGGTGCTGTGGATGGTTGGTCAGTGCAACTGAGAGAAATCTGGCATCCTTATTTCTTGAGAATCTTGCCAGGTTTTGGAGCTAATTTCTTCTTTTTAGCCATTGACTTGACCTTTGGCTCTTGACCCACGACATTAGGAAACCACCTGCAACGAGCCAGAGCAGTATAGATGACTTAATGGGATTTACATGTAAAAATAAATTTAACTCAAAAACTGAAAATATTTACTTTGGAGGGGAAAAATGGGGAGAATTTTATTTAAAAACAGTTTATGATTACCTCATGTTTCCTTCATTCAATAATTTCATTTAGTTTATGTGGGCACAGTTTAAAAATACTAATAAAAATAAAATGATATCAAATAAAAAGGGGAAAATGAAAAATGTCTTTTCAAAAATGAAATGGCAGGTGGAAATTCTTTAAAAAATGTCCCCAAAAATGAACTGAACAAAAATGTATCAACTGAAAAGAAAAAAAACTCTGGCTCTGAACGCAGGTGGCTGCCTTGATACCCCATATGTTTTATAGTAACTTATTCCAGTTAGGAAAACAAAGAGAAAATGGAATAAAACCAAAAAACAAGGCTCACATTTGTATGACCAAAATCAATAGTCACCAAAAAAAAAAAAAAGTCTTTCAAACCTACCTGGCAAGAAGTGGTTAAGCTTTTTATAGTGTCTTCAGATTAGTAATAAAATAACTGAGAGGCCGGAGGAATGCTGCTCTACATAATAAAGCTGAGACATTTTGGACAGATACAACAAGAAATGAGGATGACCTCTACTTCTGTTTTCTTCAAAGGGCAGTTAGCACATTGTGTTAGGGTTTAGGGCAGTGGTTCTCACAATTCTTTTGGCCTGAGCCTTTCAAACAGTTCCTCATGTTGTAGAGACCCCCAACCATAACATCATCTTCATTGCTTCTTCGTAACTTTAGTGAATACGTGTTTCTGATTTCTTAGTGAAAGGGTCGTTGGATGCCTAAAAGGGTCGCAATCCACAGGTTGAGAACTATTGGTTTAGAGCTAACCTGTGATATCTGTAGCTAGCCTGTGATATCTGTAGGTAGCCTGTGACATCTGTAGCTAGCCTGTGATATCTGTAGCTAGCCTGTGACATCTGTAGGTAGCCTGTGATATCTGTAGCTAGCCTGTGATATCTGTAGCTAGCCTGTGATATCTGTAGCTAGCCTGTGATATCTGTAGCTAGCCTGTGATATCTGTAGCTAGCCTGTGATATCTGTAGCTAGCCTGTGATATCTGTAGCTAGCCTGTGATATCTGTAGCTAGCCTGTGATATCTGTAGCTAGCCTGTGATATCTGTAGCTAGCCTGTGATATCTGTAGCTAGCCTGTGATATCTGTAGCTAGCCTGTGATATCTGTAGCTAGCCTGTGATATCTGTAGCTAGCCTGTGATATCTGTAGCTAGCCTGTGATATCTGTAGCTAGCCTGTGATATCTGTAGCTAGCCTGTGATATCTGTAGCTAGCCTGTGATATCTGTAGCTAGCCTGTGATATCTGTAGCTAGCCTGTGATATCTGTAGCTAGCCTGTGATATCTGTAGCTAGCCTGTGATATCTGTAGGTAGCCTGTGACATCTGTAGCTAGCCTGTGATATCTGTAGCCAGCCTGTGATATCTGTAGCTAGCCTGTGATATCTGTAGCTAGCCTGTGATATCTGTAGGTAGCCCGTGATATCTGTAGGTAGCCCGTGATATCTGTAGCCAGCCTGTGATATCTGTAGCTAGCCTGTGATATCTGTAGCTAGCCTGTGATATCTGTAGCTAGCCTGTGATATCTGTAGCTAGCCTGTGATATCTGTAGCTAGCCTGTGATATCTGTAGCTAGCCTGTGATTTCTGTAGCTAGCCTGTGATTTCTGTAGCTAGCCTGTGATACATTTAGCTAGCCTGTGATTTCTGTAGCTAGCCTGTGATATCTGTAGCTAGCCTGTGATATCTGTAGCTAGCCTGTGATATCTGTAGCTAGCCTGTGATATCTGTAGCTAGCCTGTGATATCTGTAGCTAGCCTGTGATTTCTGTAGCTAGCCTGTGATATGTTATCTAGCCTGTGATATCTGTAGCTAGCCTGTGATTTCTGTAGCTAGCCTGTGATATCTGTAGCTAGCCTGTGATATCTGTAGCTAGCCTGTGATATCTGTTATCTAGCCTGTGATATCTGTAGCTAGCCTGTGATATCTGTAGCTAGCCTGTGATATCTGTTATCTAGCCTGTGATATCTGTAGCTAGCCTGTGATATCTGTAGCTAGCCTGTGATATCTGTAGCTAGCCTGTGATATCTGCACCTTTTTACCCAACATATTCAATTCCAGTAAATTATTAATCTGTTGCCCTTTAGGACATGCTTGTTAAGGAGAAGGTGGTCTATTCTCAGAGCAATGCCTGTGTGGAAGGAGCTGGGTAGCGCTACATACACGTGGAGAAACATCATTGGAAATAACTTGAGGTACACACACTGCAGACACTGTCTCACAAAACACCCTTCAGTGACCACTGATTCACATCTCACTTTCTGCTACTAAGCCTTGGTATTCCATGTAGCAAAGTCGCTGGTACAATGACGATGGCAGAAATTTGATAGGCAAGCTATGCACTCCTGCCTGCAGATCCTGTATCTACCAACATCCTGAAGGTTTCAGGGTTCCATTTTGGGGAAGGGTGGAGGGGAGAATAGACCCACTGCCTCCCTAACAAGCATGTCATAAAAGGCAACTAATTAGTTAGGTTTCCTTCATTGGAGTGCACCTGTCTGAGAGGCTGAGGAATCAACAGTCTCCATACAAATAAGTCAGATGTGTAAAATGGATATGCGTGCAAAACTCACATTCTGGAAGATGATCAAAGTCCAGAAATGGACAAACAACCAAAACCTTCTGCAGGAGTTTATAGGCCATGAACACTTAAGTAGAAGAAGACGTGTCTACCAACATGGAAACTCCCTTTCAATTATTCATGTCAAATGAGAGAGAACAATTGAAATAATGAATCTACCTGTGTGGACTCCATAGCCTCAAAGTGAAGGATTGGGGTAAATGGAATTGTTCCCTAACAAGATAGGCATCAAAGATAACTAATTAAGGGTGCGCTGAAATTGGATGTGTTGGGCCAAAAAGCACAGATATCATAGCTTAGCTGTACATCCTTTCACAATCTGCCAAACACCCTTTTAGGGCAGAATGAAAAAAAAAAACCTTATTTAAGAAGAAGAATATTTGCAGCCAACCAAAACAAAAAATACCAACTAAAAAAGTGAATTCTTCCAACAACTGAGAATATCTGTAGCACATGTATTCTGTGGAGGTAAATTCACCAAGATACAGAGTTGGCAAATGTTGTGGCAATTGGAAAGACTGTGGTATTTGTGATTTATACAAGAAAAGGTTGGACTCATTGATAATGTGGCAATTAGAACTTAAGCCTACCAAGAATATAGAAAACAAGACTGCTGTGTGGAGAACTGGACATGGCATTTGATGACTGTGGACATTAGCGCCCCGTAGGTTCCATGCCCTACCTGGCTGACAAGAGCGTGATTTAGTATCTCCGTCTCTTGTAAAAGGCAACTTGTGTTTTCTCAAATTGGATCTTTTGAGCCGAAACAGCGATAGGGATGGGGAAACAAGTTTAAATCAAACTTCTTTTTTTTTTTTTTTTAAAGTCACTTGAGAGTCACAATAAATTAATGGTCTTCATGTTATCCTGTCTTCTTGTTAGTCCAGGGTACGACCCTCTGGACTTTTATAAAAACTGACCATGACTGCAAATTTCTTCTTCTTTTGACCTAGTTTCTTAAAGTTTCTGAAAATTATAAGGATTCCTCTTTGAAACAAAATTTGGAAAGATTCCTATTTTAAATATTTATCGGCTGGACGGGTTAAGAGCGAATGCCAAAAAGAACATTTGTTTGCCTCTTACTCCATGGCCCTGCAGCATGAAGAGAAGAAAGGGGAAGAAAAGAAAAAACACACACATGTCACGCCAACAAGAGAAGAGAGAATACAAGAAAAGCCAACTTACTGTCTCTGAGCATCCACCTGGCGAAGTTTGTAAGCCTCTACAGTCTGTGGTGGAACAAGAGCCGCCAGCTCTAGAGCATCTCTCATTTTCCGCAAAATTTCGTAGTTTTCTTTCCCCCTGACCTATGTTAGAATAGATATTCAGTAAAACTTTGATTCACCGTCACTAGTTTAACCACCAGTTTCTGTTTTTCGTCATCGACTAAAAAAAAAAAACTGCTTGAGTATCAACAAAAACCTTAAAGACACAGAAGGATATGACAGTTTATTTTCAATTAACATAGGTTTATAATATTACAGTTTATTTCTGTACATTACTACTCTAATATTGAAGTTTTTATAGCTTCTTGTTTATTGTTTTTGGTGGAGGGGAAAAGCCGTGTCATATGAGAACAAACCTGGTGCAATGGAATTGGCGCCTGTGGCTCACGTGTTACGAACACGCTTTGTAACTTTGAGAAGATGGGTTTCATTCTAGCTGCAGGCAAATTTGGCACCAGACTTGCGTTAGTTTGCAAGTGGTATCTAAAGTTGACCGTTCAGAAACTACCGAATGTAAAGCTACCTGATGAAATAAAAAATGCTGGAGTCAGTTCTGCAACGTCCCGTAAAGGACACACCCAGCTAGCTGTTCCGGTGGAGGCCAAATGCGGTGCAATATGGGAACAAACCTGGTGCAATTGAATTGGTGCCTGTGGTCACGTGCTATGAACAGCGTTGGAAGCTGGGTTGGATCCTAGCTGCAGGCAATTTGGCAGCAGACTTGCATTAGCTGCAAGTGGTATCGAAAGTCAACCATTCAAAAACTACCGAATGTAAAGCTAACTAATGAAATAAAAAATGCTGGAGTCAGTTCTGCAACGACCCGTAAAAGGACATGCAACCTACAATTAATGAAGTTAATCTCTCTTGAGTTTAACATGCTGAATTCTTCACTGCTAAATTCCTTTGCTTCAAAACAATGTTTTAAATTTGTGAAATGCGGGTAAAAACAATACATGTTAATGCATTTCAGCAAAAGTGACTCATTTTATGCTTCATTATACATTGATTTGACTCTTTAGTAATGCAACTGACATGATTAGGCGAAACATCCCAGGCAATCAATTGTGCAGTGCCCTTTTAGTGTCACATCATTTAAATTCCTTTATATTAAAATCTTTAAATCTTTCACTGTAAACTCTTAAATTCTTTCATGTAAAACTCTCATAGTAGTTACAAACATTCAATGACTGAATACACATACTGAGTATAAACAAGTGAGTGAGAAGACTCTGACATGTGGAACTTACAGGTAAACTGTATATTTCTTTATCATCCCCAAACTTGCGTTTCTTGGCCACACTCACGATCTCGGTGCCAACTGTCACGGAAGATGGTGTGCCCGCTTGGCCTGTCAGAGGGGAAGAAACACAGCCAATATGAGAACCAACCTTAAAATCAGCACAGTTTAAACCTTGTAATGTCTAAGCATCTAAGCCTGTTAGGTGCTTACTTCCAAGGCCCCCGGGTGGGTGGGGTAGTTTACAGACCCTCTACCCCCTCCTCCACACAGCCTAGCTGCCATGTCAAAAAACAAATGCAAAAGAAGGAACCGAACCGTTTTGAGAACTGTCAGAGACTTGTCTGGGAAGGAAAGGTATTGAGCAAGAGAAATGACCACATCACTTCGTATGTCCTGACTTAGAATATGTGAATGCCTAAAGCAGGTATGGTCAACAAAGCTCACTCAGGGGCCACAACTTTAACATGGTGGGGGGGGGGAGAAGAAAGGGTGTGTGTGCTGTGTGTGTGTGTCATCACAGGATTTAGCCCTAGCATAGACAGATCATTAACACAGTATGATTAGCAATGATCTGCCGGCCTAATCTGGCCCATGGGTCGCCAGCAAAGAGCCTAGCCTAAAGCTTCACACTCAGTTGTAGTTTTTGTTATAAGATGTCTGTTACCTTTTAACGAACAGAGAAACAACACTGTCAGCCTGTTTGGTTCGTTTAAACAACACTGGCATTCATTGATGCTAGGGTACTGTGCTATCTCCTGGCATTCATTGATGCTAGGGTACTGTGTTATCTACTGGCATTTATGCTGATGATAGGGTACTGTGTTATCTACTGGCATTTATGTTGATGCTAGGGTACTGTGTTATCTACTGGCATTTATGCTGATGATAGGGTACTGTGTTATCTACTGGCATTTATGTTGATGCTAGGGTACTGTGTTATCTACTGGCATTCATGTTGATGCTAGGGTACTGTGTTATTTACTGGCATTCATTGATGCTAGGGTACTGTGCTATCTACTGGCATTCATGTTGATGCTAGGGTACTGTGCTATCTACTGGCATTCATGTTGATGCTAGGGTACTGTGCTATCTACTGGCATTTATGTTGATGCTAGGGTACTGTGCTATCCAATCTGTGTCATCTATAGGAGGAGAATGATCTCAGTATACATATTTTAAAAAAAAAAAAAAAAAAAAACCAGGAGCAACTAAATAACATAACTTTACTACTCCCTCCAAATGCAATATTTTCACAAAGATACTATAAGCATAGGGTTAAATTGTTCTCTTCATGTAGATGGAAGTCAGTCGACTGCTCTCAGCTTACTGCAGAGGATAGGAAGAGGCATTGGCATAAGAGAAAAAGGAGGACAAGAAGAAGACAAAGATGAGGAAGAAGAAGACAAAGGGAAAGAATAAGACAAAAATGAGGAGCAAGAAGAAGCAGTGATAGAAGTAGCAGATGTAGAAGAAAAAAGTGTCTAGTCATAATATGTTCCCTTGATATTTTGGGTGCGAGAATGGATTGTCTTCTCAGATAAGGGGAAACAATTTTTACTAGTCACATGAAAGAAGCAGGCGCATATGTATGTATGATGCAATTGTGTTACTTCGATTCTCACCTCGTTTGTTCACGAATCCTTTCGGTGGCTGGGAATCCCTTTCATCTGCCTTTCTATCTCGTCCTGGACAAGCACATATCCTGACTTCCACTGCCCTGCGGCCAAGCACTGACCCATCCCTCTCCCTCTCTAGCGTGAAGACAATCTGCAGGGGTCGTCTGTTGGGACCACCAACACAGGACCCCAGACACATGAACTGGAAGAGGTTGGTCACCCACTCTGACCCTGCCTGGGGGATCTCATGAGGTAGAATGACACTCTGGCGGTGGGTACAGGGGTCATCGACGTACCTGGCCTGCTTGTGCTCGCAGCGCACCAGGTGTTCGGGAGCTGGGTGCTTTTCGTTGTGCTCCTTTGAGACTGCGTGGTTGGGACATCGCTTGACCACTTCTTGGACATGCTCTGGTTTCATATAGATGGCCATAGCACGAATGACGGTGCCCTCTGGTGTTCGATTGCGAGTCTTGAAACGGACTGGACATGTGTTGGCCATTCGAACATATAGCTTTTTCAGACTGTCAGAATACTAAATGAGGGACAGAAAATAAAATGTATGTATAATATAATGATTTTTATTGGTTTTGTTAAGGTTGCTATTTAGATAATACTGTTGTCCATGTTGAGTGTCTGTGCACGGATGTAAATAAAATCAATGTTGAGTGTCTGTGCATGCATGTAAATAAAGTCAATGTTGAGTGTCTGTGCATGCATGTAAATAAAGTCAATGTTGAGTGTCTGTGCATGCATGTAAATAAAGTCAATGTTGAGTGTCTGTGCATGCATGTAAATAAAGTCAATGTTGAGTGTCTGTGCATGTATGTAAATAAAGTCAATGTTGAGTGTCTGTGCATATATGTAAATAAAGTCAATGTTGAGTGTCTGTGCATGTATGTAAATAAAGTCAATGTTGAGTGTCTGTGCATGTATGTAAATAAAGTCAATGTTGAGTGTCTGTGCATGTATGTAAATAAAGTCAATGTTGAGTGTCTGTGCATGCATGTAAATAAAGTCAATGTTGAGTGTCTATGCATGCATGTAAATAAAGTCAATGTTGAGTGTCTGTGCATGTATGTAAATAAAGTCAATTTTGAGTGTCTGTGCATGCATGTAAATAAAGTCAATGTTGAGTGTCTGTGCATGCATGTAAATAAAGTCAATGTTGAGTGTCTGTGCATGCATGTAAATAAAGTCAATGTTGAGTGTCTGTGCATGCATGTAAATAAAGTCAATGTTGAGTGTCTGTGCATGCAGGTAAATAAAGTCAATGTTGAGTGTCTGTGCATGCATGTAAATAAAGTCAATGTTGAGTGTCTGTCCATGCATGTAAATAAAGTCAATGTTGAGTGTCTGTGCAAGTATGTAAATAAAGTCAAAGTGAAGGACCCTTTTCCGTGCCATTAGGCATGTTGGATATATGTTTAGTTAGTTGTGTATCCTTTACAGGACATTGCAGAACCAACCCCACATTTTTTGCCTGTTGTGATTTTCTAGCAAATTTACATCCAGTAGTTTGTCACTGCTTCTGGACGGTCGGCTCCTCAATACGTCTATCCAAACCAACGCAAGACCCGCAACTGGAAATGAACCTGTCACCCTGGCATTATGAAGCCCGTTCACAACGCCTAAGCCACTGACAGATATAGAGTGCTAGCCCCCCCCCCCCCCCCCCCCCCCATGACACAATGTCAAGACTTTACACTAGACTTCTTGTACCAACATGCAAAATTGAAAAACAAAAAAATAAAAACGCATGCATACACACAACATGACCAACCACTTAATGATTGTGTGACATAAAACTATGAAGCAATACCAACATGCAATCACACACACATGAACAGTTACTCTCACGACCTCTCTCACAAACTTTCTCCTATATGCAAACACACACACACACACATATTTCTGCGCATGTTCTCTCTTAAACACTCTATAAAGCAACATAGCAAAACCCACATGCAATCTCACACACACACACACACACACACATATGCACATCCTACAAAGCAATACCACATGCAAGCCCACATGCTCCCATGACAGAGAGAGAGACACGCATGCACGCGCACACACAAGCATCAGCAGATGATAACATAAAACTTACAGTCCATGTAGTCGATTTCGTTTCTTTTGAAGGTTGTGAAAAACTAATCTCAAATCCATATTCTCCGGGATAGTCAGTACTGCAGATTGGAAATACATCAATAATGAGTGGCAAGAAAATAATTCAAGCAGTTATGGTAAAGTAATCATAAACAGAAGCAGGGGAAGAACAGGAAAAAAAAGGATGGAGGATAAGTAGGAGCTGAGGTGGTGGTTATTGTGAGGGTGAAAGAGGAAGATGTGCCATAGGTTAAAAACAAAAAAGGGGAGAAAGGTATAAAAAGCAATGGTGGTGATGATTATGATGATGGTGAAACCAAAATGAGTAAGCAAAACGGGCGGGTAGGAAGAAAAGAAAGAAACGATAGATCAGTGTAGGAAGAAAAGAAAGAAATGATAGATCAGTGTAGGAAGAAAAGAAAGAAACGATAGATCAGTGTAAGAAGAAAAGAAAGAAACGATAGATCAGTGTAGGAAGAAAAGAAAGAAACGATAGATCAGTGTAGGAAGAAGAAAGGAAAATAATAACTGCAGTTCCAGGATGGTTTACATTGTGAAAGACCATGGATGATCGGAGTTATTTTTTATCAACAGTGTATGTGAGTTGTTGACTATCCTGCAGTCATTAGGGAAGTATTTAGGAGCCTTTGGGCTCAAATGTTATAGAAAGATTCTTAGGATACCATGCACCAAGAACAAGACAAATACCGATATCCTAACAAATCTGAACATCATAGAAGATTGCCTGGTAAACAGCATCTGGTCTCAGAAACTGAACTATTTTGGTTTTTTTCAAATGACATTGTGGAAATAACAGTAGTGGAGGACAGGGTTCCAGAAAGGAGGGGCAGGGGTCAACCAACACTAAGAAGGGCACAAGACATTCAAGACACCATGGGCAGAAGAGCTGGTAATGGGGCCGAGTTTCTTTCAGGCAGACTGAGTTATCTTCACAGCACTCCAGACACATCCATAGGCGCTCAGATTCCCTTCTCAACATTTTCATCAGCATCGTGCAGTTAATAGTGCCGGTCCTATGTTGGTTAACAAGACTTTGTGTGCGTCCAGTATGCTTCTCATGCTTGGCTGTGCCGATCTTTACTCCCAATTCGTGTGCTCTGAGGGACCTGCTACATAATGAAGATCTAACCAGTCCTCAACAAACACTGATAAACTAGGTGAACACAAGAGTGAGTCAACACTGAATAGACTAGATCACACAGAGATTACTCACTTGCTTGGCACTGTGGGCATTGGAGAGGTGACAGTGTGGTGAGGTGAGTACGAGTGAGGTGATGTGATGGCCTGTGGAGATGCAAGAATTTACTGAGTATGAACAGCAACCATTATGTGTTTAAAAGTAAAAATTTAAAAAAAATTAAAAAAAAAAAAAAAACTCAAATTATACAAAGAAAAAAGTATTTGAGTGTCTGCCAGATTCCCTGAGTGTTGAGTGTCTGCCAGATTCCCTGAGTGTTGAGTGTCTGCCAGATCCCCTTAGTGTAGAGTGTCTGCCAGATTCCCTGAGTGTTGAGTGTCTGCCAGATTCCCTGAGTGTTGAGTGTCTGCCAGATTCCCTGAGTGTTGAGTGTCTGCCAGATCCCCTTAGTGTAGAGTGTCTGCCAGATTCCCTGAGTGTTAAGTGTCACCCCAGATCCCCTGAGTGTTGAGGGTCGCCCCAGATCCCCTGAGTGTTGAGTGTCTGCCAGATCCCCTTAGTGTAGAGTGTCTGCCAGATTCCCTGAGTGTTGAGTGTCAGCCAGATTCCGTGAGTGTTGAGTGTCTGCCAGATCCCCTGAGTGTTGAGCATCGCCCCAGATCCCCTGAGTGTTGAGCATCGCCCCAGATCCCCTGAGTGTTGAGTGTCGCCCCAGATCCCCTGAGTGTTGAGCATCGCCCCAGATCCCCTGAGTGTTGAGTGTCAGCCAGATCCCCTGAGTGTTGAGTGTCTGCCAGATTCCCTGAGTGTTGAGTGTCAGCCAGATTCCCTGAGTGTTGAGTGTCTGCCAGATCCCCTGAGTGTTGAGTGTCTGCCAGATCCCCTGAGTGTTGAGTGTCTGCCAGATTCCCTGAGTGTTGAGTGTCAGCCAGATCCCCTGAGTGTTGCCCCAGATCCCCTGAGTGTTGAGTGTCTGCCAGATTCCCTGAGTGTTGAGTGTCAGCCAGATCCCCTGAGTGTTGAGTGTCTGCCAGATTCCCTGAGTGTTGAGTATCTGCCAGATTCCCTGAGTGTTGAGTATCTGCCAGATTCCCTGAGTGATGAGTGTCTGCCAGATCCCCTTAGTGTTGAGTGTCTGCCAGATTCCCTGAGTGTTGAGTGTCTGCCAGATCCTCTGAGTGATGAGTGTCTGCCAGATTCCCTGAGTGATGAGTGTCTGCCAGATTCCCTGAGTGATGAGTGTCTGCCAGATCCCCTGAGTGTTGAGTGTCTGCCAGATCCCCTGAGTGTTGAGTGTCTGCCAGATTCCCTGAGTGTTGAGTGTCTGCCAGATTCCCTGAGTGTTGAGTGTCTGCCAGATCCCCTGAGTGTTGAGTGTCTGCCAGATCCCCTGAGTGTTGAGTGTCTGCCAGATCCCCTGAGTGTTGAGTATCTGCCAGATCCCCTGAGTGTTGAGTATCTGCCAGATCCCCTAAGTGTTGTGTGCTGCCAAATCTCCTAAGTGTTGTGTGTCTGCCAAATCTCCTAAGTGTTGTGTGTCTGCCAAATCTCCTAAGTGATGAGTGTCTGCCAGATTCCCTGAGTGATGAGTGTCTGCCAGATCCCCTGAGTGTTGAGTGTCTGCCAGATCCCCTGAGTGTTGAGTGTCTGCCAGATTCCCTGAGTGTTGAGTGTCTGCCAGATTCCCTGAGTGTTGAGTGTCTGCCAGATCCCCTGAGTGTTGAGTGTCTGCCAGATCCCCTGAGTGTTGAGTGTCTGCCAGATCCCCTGAGTGTTGAGTGTCTGCCAGATCCCCTGAGTGTTGAGTATCTGCCAGATCCCCTAAGTGTTGTGTGTCTGCCAAATCTCCTAAGTGTTGTGTGTCTGCCAAATCCCCTAAGTGTAGAGTGTCTGCCAGATCCCTTTGTCCCTTCCTGCTGTACAATTCTTTTCCAACGATAATAATCTTTTTGTATCATTACTCCCTAAGGGGCCTGACAAAGTACTGGAGTATGCAGGGCCTCCATAATGGAGGGTGGCGTCTCAACAACCTTCTCATTATCATGAGCCCTGCCAACTGGCATAAGCATTCATGCGTTTCCACAGTTCTCGGTTCCTTGTCATTTGGATCAGTTCCACCAATGATATCCCTCCATACCAGGGTTGCAATCCATCCGTCATCATCTCTCTAGGTCTGCCACTCCCCTTTCTACTGTAGACCATCCCATTCGTCACATTATTTCCAAAGCCCCTCCCAACAACCAAAGAACAGTGCTTGTCTTTTCCTTAGAGCTGTATTACTGATCTCATTAGCTTCTTTTAAGCAATCCTCCTTAATTACTGTGGGAGTCCTAGGGATTTTTAACATCGTCTGACAAACCACATCTCCACAACATCTAGATTATTTTTTTAAAAGTCAGTTGCAACCTGGTATCTTCGCAAAAAGTTAGTTTTGGGATACAAAACATATGTACGGAAAAGAGTGAGGGCACTTACATCATCGTATGGACTGGATGCAGTGCTGCCAATAATATTCGTTTGTGAGTCGGGACTCATTCCAGAGGTACTGCTTGTTGTCAGAATTTGATTTAACTGTGAAATACAACATACACACAAAAAATAAATGACAATCAGCAGAAGAGGCAGCCTACATGGCTTTTCTCTTTATAATTTTAGACTCCAAATTAGATTTTTAAAAGTGCACACAATCTCACATTTTCATCCTTATCTGAGAAGACTAGGCGTTTGCTGAGAAGACTAGGCGTTTGCTTATTCACTGACAGTATCGGGGAAAGTACTGTATAGTATAATGTGTTTGGACCCTACTGAACAAACAATACACATACATCATTCCTACAATAGCCACAATGGGTACTTCTTGTGCAGAGAAACTAAACTAATTCTATGCATAACATACTAAACATGTTCTCTACTGCCACACATTTCTATGTTGGCTCTGCATCATCATCATCAACAACAACAACAACTCAGGCTATCAAAATAGCAATAGAGAAACTGCTAAATACCAATCTTGGCTCACAGTATGTGGTAATGCTGACAGATGCAAAATCAGTACTTGAAGCACTCCAGTCTAGGAAACTACCAGAACTGCAAATACTGCTGACACAACTTAGCCTTCAGCAAAGAGTTGTAATGCAGTGGATACCATCACATTATGGAGTGCCTGGAAATGAGAAAGCTGATCAACTGGCAGGAGAAGGTGCGACAAAAGGGCAGCCGGATATACCAGTCGCATACCACAAAAATAAAAGAATCATTAAATCAATCAGGAAACCACCAGCCCCAGCACAAGACGACTATTTTATTATTGACAGATTAGAACAAGTCATTATTCTCCGCCTCAGAACAGGGCACAACCGATTACGTAACCACATGTACACAAAATTCAAGATAGGCGTATTAGCCATGTGCACCTGTGGAAAGGTGCCCCAGACAGCATAGCATGTACTCCAGGACTGCACCGAATTTGACACATTAAGGCAAACCTTTTGGCCAGAAAGAACAACAGCGCAATGTTAACTCTATGGACCACTGAATGAATTAACAACAGTGAAATTTATACAAGAGACAAAATTGCAGATATAGACAACTTATTTCAGCCGAACGAAAGAAGAAGAAGAAGAAGAAGAAGAAGAAGAAGAAGAAGAAGAAGAAGAAGAAGAAGAAGAAGAAGAAGAAGAAGAAGAAGAAGAAGAAGAAGAAGAAGAAGAAGAAGAAGAACAACAACAACAACAACAACAAAATGGCTCTTGGAGTTATGGGAAGTAAAATCGGTCAGAAGGTCAATGTATCAGATGGGTTTTCTCATCTGGTGAGAATGGAACAAAATCAGCCAGCAGTATGAGAACATGTACATGAGAACAGCAGGTTACAAGACAACAGACAGACCAAGAAAGACAGAGGTGGAGGGAGTAAAAGAAACACTACAGAAAGGCAATTGAACACTAGCTACCCAACCCAGCCAAAAGGCAGGAAACTACACCTCACTCCTCTGCTATGTTTTACGGGCAGGCAGGAAACTACACCTCACTCCTCTGCTATGTTTTACGGGCAGGCAGGAAACTACACCTCACTCCTCTGCTATGTTTTACGGCAGGCAGGAAACTACACCTCACTCCTCTGCTATGTTTTACGGGCAGGCAGGAAACTACACCTCACTCCTCTGCTATGTTTTACGGGCAGGCAGGAAACTACACCTCACTCCTCTGCTATGTTTTACGGGCAGGCAGGAAACTACACCTCACTCCTCTGCTATGTTTTACGGGCAGGCAGGAAACTACACCTCACTCCTCTGCTATGTTTTACGGGCAGGCAGGAAACTACACCTCACTCCTCTGCTATGTTTTACGGGCAGGCAGGAAACTACACCTCACCCCTCTGCTATGTTTTACGGGCAGGCAGGAAACTACACCTCACCCCTCTGCTATGTTTTACGGGCAGGCAGGAAACTACACCTGACTCCTCTGCTATGTTTTACGGGCAGGCAGGAAACTACACCTCGCTCCTCTGCTATGTTTTACGGGCAGGCAGGAAACTACACCTCACTCCTCTGCTATGTTTTACGGGCAGGCAGGAAACTACACCTCACTCCTCTGCTATGTTTTACGGGCAGGCAGGAAACTACACCTCACTCCTCTGCTATGTTTTACGGGCAGGCAGGAAACTACACCTCACTCCTCTGCTATGTTTTACGGGCAGGCAGGAAACTACACCTCACTCCTCTGCTATGTTTTACGGGCAGGCAGGAAACTACACCTCACTCCTCTGCTATGTTTTACGGCAGGCAGGAAACTACACCTCACTCCTCTGCTATGTTTTACGGGCAGGCAGGAAACTACACCTCACTCCTCTGCTATGTTTTACGGGCAGGCAGGAAACTACACCTCACTCCTCTGCTATGTTTTACGGGCAGGCAGGAAACTACACCTCACTCCTCTGCTATGTTTTACGGGCAGGCAGGAAACTACACCTCACTCCTCTGCTATGTTTTACGGGCAGGCAGGAAACTACACCTCACTCCTCTGCTATGTTTTACGGGCAGGCAGGAAACTACACCTCACTCCTCTGCTATGTTTTACGGGCAGAAACACAACAGCCGCAAGTCTCTTGAGAATCGCTTTATTTACACTCTGGGGACTTTAACACCCTCCAGACTGAATTGCCAACACAGTTTCATTTAAACTTCTAGGGAACTGAACTGCCTTCTCAGTTTTATCTCTAACCCCCTAGTTATGGCCCCTGGTACTCCACAGGGGGTATTTATTCCCCCAGCCCACGCGTGTAGGTAGTCTGCAGAGAAACCATCAACCTGGCTGCTTCAAGATACCAGCTAAGTGATTTTGTGTAGTATTGTTTAATTTTTATGTGCTGATGAAGGCTCCATAGCCACAACATTCACGTTTTGTTTGCATTTGTTATTTTGTGAAGCTTGCTAATATACTTTTCGTTCGGTTTTATATCTTTTCTTGACAAAAGAAAAAGAATCTTCCAGACTGCAATACAGTAGAGAAATGCATTCTCAGACAGTGTGGGATATGAGGGAAACAGAACAGTTCTAGAAGGAGTACAGTACAGAGGCCAACGGCTCTCTCTCTCTCTCTTCCCACCTCCCTCCTTCCCCCTACCTCTCTCTCTCCCCACCTCCCCCTCACTTTCTCTCTTCCCACCTCCCTCCCTCCCCCCTCTCTCTCTCTCTCTTCCCACCTCCCTCCTTCCCCCTCCCTCTCTCTCCCCACCTCCCTCTCACTTTCTCTCTCTTCTCACCTCCCTCCTCCCCTCTCTCTCTCCCCACCTTCCTCCCCCTCTCACTTTCTCTCTCTCTCTCTTCCCACCTCCCTACCTCCCTCCCCCTCTCACTTTCTCTCTCTCTCTTCCCACCTCCCTCCCTCCCCTCTCTCTCCACCTCCCTCTCTCTCTCCCCACCCCCTCCCCCTTTCTCTCTCTCTTCCTCACACACACACACACACACAACTATCAAGAATGCAGATGGGCAGGCAAACGGACAGATGTGTGGACAGAAGAGGGTGAGCCAGCAAGCTGACAGTCAGTTGGTTGGCTATAACATAGAAACAGAGATGGACAGACGAATTAAGGGATGGCTAAATCCACAGACAGACAGACAGACAGACAGACAGACAGACAGACAGACAGACAGACAGACAGACATAATCAAAGAGTGAGTGAGCCTCTTCCTGCCTCCTGTAGAACGTATGCCGGACACCATGTCTATCTAACATGACCAGGTCCCAACCATGACATTTGTGACATGCTGACCCACTAGGACTGTCCCAGTGATCCATCCACCACCAGAAGAAAGCCCACAACATGTGGGCTTGGGGCTGACAGGAGATACGGAGACACAAGGGGGCTTTACGTCTAGAGAGGCATTATATTTAGAGCTGACCTTGTTTATAAACGAAGATATGTCCGGATGGAGTGTGTGAGCCTGCGCGCTGTCAGACAACTATTGTTTTATCCTATCAGTGATTGATCTTTTCATCAATACAGCTTTATTGATTTCTAGACAACTGTACTGGTTTGTGTTCTCTTTGAGCCAGCCAGCGAGAGAGCGAGAGAGAGAGAGAGAGAGAGAGAGAGAGAGAGAGAGAGAGAGAGAGAGAGAGAGAGAGAGAGAGAGAGAGAGTCAAGTGAGAGGAAGGTATGAGAGACTGGTAAAGGACATGTAAGCAAAGAAAAGAACCCTTGTCCGTGCCTTTCATGCATATTTGGAATATAGGGCTAGACCTCTATTTTATAAACTAATGGCGCAAGAAGGGTGATGTGGTCAGTATTATGCTGACCGCCTTTACTTCTCAGGACTGCACTTGGTACCCACTAAGGGATGGGTCGATCTGGGAGCCAAGTTAATTACTGAAAAAAGTCCGGCTCCGCCAGCTCAAAAACACGGAGAGATAATATACAAGCAGACCTACAGACACTAGAAGTCAAAGAGAAAGTTGTTAACAGAGAAAGAGGCGTGTGATATCTCCAGAAATAAACCTCAAGGGCTCGGGATGACAGCGGCGAAGAAGAAGACAAAGAAAAAGAAGAAGAAGAAGAAAAAAGAAGAAGAAGAAGAAGAAGAAGAAGAAGAAGAAGAAGAAGAAGAAGAAGAAGAAGAAGAAGAAGAAGAAGAAGAAGAAGAAGAAGAAGAAGAAGAAGAAGAAGAAGAAGGAGGAGGAGGAGGAGGAGGAATCAAAAGTTCAATGCAGGATGCAAGATCTGCAAATATGTCTCAAGGCTGATGCTTGCACTTGACTGTGAATGATACTATGAACTAACAACAGAGTCAATAATAACGACAACGATAATATTAACTCTTACACACCCAACCTAAAACAGCTCAAAAATTGACCAAACTGCCAGACTTAAGAAGTTCACTTACAGTGGCAGGTAATACTGTAAACCTGTGGGTACCAGTGGTGCATTGTGGGAACAAAAAAGATCAGACCTGCTGCCTTTTAACAAGCATTTGGTAAAAGTCGACTAATTCAAATGTTTCCTTTGAATTTGGTGTGCATCTATCTGCCTGGTAGGCGAGTAATCTACAGTCTGCATACAAATAAGCCAGA